CAATGTCCATCTGTTACCTTAATAATTAACGTATCAATATATGTACATAGATCTACTTCCCTATTGTTATACAGTGAACCCTCGCCACTTCGCGCTTCGACTTCCGCGGCTTCACTCTATTGCGGTTTTTGTGTAACAGCACATGCTGTCATTACTGCCACTGATTGGCTCATACTGTACACGCTTCTGTCTGCATCGCTACACATCGGAGCTACGTATCAGATGCATTTTTGCTTTTGTACAGTGTACTGTAATTGTTTGCGATTTTTAAGAAATTTTATCTAAGCCCTATGATGGCTCCTAAACGAGCTGCTTCTTCTAAGCCTTCTGACAATAAAAATAAGCGCCAGAGGAAGATGCTCACCATCCAGGAAAAGGTAAAACTTTTGGATATGATCAACGATGGCAAGAAAATCGTGGAGGTTGCACGCCATTTCGACTTGAAGAAGGAATCCTACTTCGCGGAATTTCATTTATCACGGTAGGGTCTAGAACCGATTAACCGCGATAAATGAGGGTTCACTGTATATAAATATATTTACATATATACATGCCTGTATTTAGACCTCTGTAAATGCCCTTTGCCTCCTACTTCTTTCCTCTATTTCCTTTCACTTTCCTCTTTTCTCACTATCATGTTCGGCCTTCAGTCAGGTTTCAGTAATTCCTCTTGGTTACATTGCCCTTGATCAAGCCCCACCAGGCATCCTAAGCCCTTCTCACCATGGATTTTAGATCACTTGTTGTTCCCTTGTCCCTGGGTTTGTTAGCGCCCACTTCCTTTCCCCTGCCTCCCTCTCTCCCATGTCCCCCCAGAACCATATTCTCCTCTGGATTGTTTATCTCGCCTCTCTTATCTAGACAGACATGCAGAGACAATAATAAGCACAAAAACAAGAGAGTAAAACAAAAGAACAAAAGGAAACAAAACAAAAATGACAAGAACAATAAAAAGCCTATAAATAGTTCCAGGTCTCTTTGTTGATGTTTAGCAGTGTTTTCTGGTCCAGTCTGATGGGGTGCCACACCTTGGCCCCAAAGTCTATTTTTGGTATTCGGGGATTTCATTGCTTTGCTCCCCTTGCTGCTCTGTTGCATGCCCTTAGCGTTTCACCCCGAAGTAGTGGAGTCATATTGGACACAGTTCCCACCCTGTGCCTCCAATGTTGTCCTTCGAAGCACTATGGGTCCCTGAGGGACATTGTGTCTTGTGGTGGGGCTGGCCCAATTGTCCTCTGTGTGCATTGACTGCTGTGAGCAGGAATATCATCCTTGGGGCTTGGTCTTCCTGAGTTTTTATACAAGAGAGTACCCCCCACAAAAAATGGATTTTTTTTCTAAAGCTATGTATTTAAATTTTTTTTTACAAAACAACCTTACCACCTTCACAGTATTCCCCATTACACTCAATACATTTGTCAAACCTGTGATTCCATTCTTGGAAACATTTTTCAAACTCATCTGTTTGGATGGCTGACAGCACCGACCTTGTTTTTTTCTTCACCTCTTCTACATCATCAAATTGCTGTCCTTTTATGTCCCTCTTCATTCACAGAAACAAAAAGAAGTTGTACTGAGTGAGGTCAGGTGAGTAAGGTGCGTGGGGCAAAGAAGCATGCTGTTTTTTACCAAAATCTGGCAACTGAGATGACTTCGTGAACAGGCCCTCGTCTGCCACAAATCAGGTCTTTTTTGTTGCAGGCTGTGATACAATCTTTTCAGAACCTCTTAATAGAAATCTTGATTAACAGACTGACCTGGTAGAGTAAACTCCAAATGCACTACGAGTTGACATTATCGTGTTTTGGGAAAACAAAGTTTAGATTTATTGGTTTTCTTGGGTGGGTAACTTTTTGCTTTTCTCAAGCTGCTCTCGGGATCCTTTCCTTTTCTTTGGTTTTGGGAAGTTTGACTATGTTAGTCTTGGTGATATTTTTTTTTTTGGACTCTATCCTGTTGGTGGCTCATTCTGCTCCTTGAGTACATAGCTTCCCGTCTGATGTTAAGGAAGCTTTCTTCCAACGTTTGGACAATTCCCTTTGTGCTTTTTTTTTTTGGAGTGGTGTACATCTCTTGTTTGTCTAGAATTCTGACTGCATGTCGATTATTCTATAATCCTTGAGAATTATGTCCAACATAATTCTTAGGCTTCTTCCATTTTCTTCTTCTTTTTTCTAATTGTTCCTAAAGCCTAGTGTTTCCCAGAGTGTTCAATACCACCCCCTGGGGAAGCAGTTGCCAGTGCTGTCTCTCGTCAGGTGGGACGAGAAAGAGGAAAACAGAATTGACAGCAAAGAAAAGAATAAAGGGGAAAAACAAGTGGGGGAAGTAAACAGCAGCAAGAAAGAAGATGATAACTTAGAAAGAAAAATAAAAGCAAGGGAAGAGACCAAGAGAAACATGAAAGAAAATACAATAAATAAAACAAGGGAGGCTAGGAAGAGAGAAGAGGAAATAGGAAAGAAAAAAACTAAGAGAAAAGAAAGGAAAGACTAAAGAGAAACAGGAAAGAGGATAAAATGGGATAGAAGTGAAATAATTTAAAAAAGAAACAGAGCAGAAAACTAGGGATCGGAGCATCTGGTGTGTGTTGGTCCCCTCTGCCAGCCAAGGAGCTCCTGGGCGGGGAGGTAGGAGAAGAGGGAGCCCTGGTCCTGGATGGAGTTCCCACTGGCCTACACATGGCCTGGGGTCAGGGAGTAGGTTGTGCCTCCTCAGGTGATGGCTGAGGTCAGTGTTTGCTCCTGGAAGGAATCCTTGTAGGTCCAGAATGCGGCTGGGAGCAGGATGGGTGGTGGTTATGGAAGGAGTTCTTGCCAGTCCAGGGACAGCCAGGGCCCCAGCACGACTCATTCTGATGGTCTGATGAGGCAGAGTTTACAGGTATGCAAAGGTGAGTATACCAGGTGTGTATGGGTAGTGGCTGTCCATGTCTCTGGTCACCAGGAGGGTGTGGAGAACAAGGGGGGAGCCCACTTTTCTTTTTTTAAAATAATTTTATTAGGGGATCATACAATTCTTATCACAATCCATACATACATCAATTGTGTAAAGCACATTTGTACATTCATTGCCCTTGTCATCCTCAAAACGTTTCCTCTCCATGTAAGCCCCTGGCATCCGCTCTTCCTTTTTCCCCCTCCCTCCCCACTCCCGCTTCCCTCATGAACCCTTGATAATTTATAAATTATTCTTTTGTCGATCTTAAACTGTCTGATATCTCCCTTCACCCACTTTTCTGTTGTCTGTCCCCCAGGGAGGAGGTTATATATAGATCCTTGTAATCGGTTCCCCCTTTCCACCCCACCCTCCCTCCACCCTCCCAGTATCACCACTCTCACCACTGG